GAAATCTCCCTGTCCCTGTAAAACCACTTTCCTACCCATGGAATCATACTAGTAGCACTCCTCTTAATCCTTTCAGTAAGTCTATATCCTTTCTTGGATAAGGAGACCAAAACAGTACATAATATTGTAAGTGAGGCCTAAAGAGTGATTTTTTTAAAAGAAATAATTACTTCTTTTGACTTGTCATCAATATCTCTATAAATACACCTTAACATTCAACAAGCTTTAATAATAACAGCAGTGAACTGCTTCGATAACTTCAGTAACTTATGCACCACTATGCCAAGATCATTTTCTTCAGTTGGTTTCCATCTATATTAAACGTGTAATCTCAGTTAATGTAAATGAATTACCGTGCAGTTTCTATAATTAAATATAATTTGCCAATTATTTGACCAATCTACCTATTGATCCAAGTCGTTCTGTAGCTCCTCAACATCATAGATATAGAGTTAAATGTCATCAGAGAACATTATCATTAATGTAAATAAATAAAAAAGGCTGAGAGACTCTACTAGTTACAGTTAATGGTTCAGTTTTACTGGGCTCAGTTATTAACAATAATCTGCTTTCTCCAATCCATCCATCCTGCAATTCAATTAACTAGTCATTTCCCAACTCCTAGTGATGTAATATCCTTATCTAATATTTTATGTGGTTCCTTATCAAAAACTTTTTGAAAATTCAAGTACTCCAAGTCCACACCCTTTACTTCGACCAGATAACAAATAATGTCCTCGAAATAAAAATAACATATTACTAAGACAAGATTTCATGTTGTCTTTTATTTATGATATCATATTTCAATAAATGATTTTGTAAACCTTCTTATACCAGACTCTCTAGATTTTTTTTCTCAATATCCTTATCACTCCCTTTAAAAACATAAACAACTCATTAATCCTCTGATACCTTCCCACTTTCTGTTGACCTACTAAATTTAAAAGAGAAAGACTCACATATCTGATCTTTGACATCCACTAAAACCCCGACAAAAATGGTGCTTTATCTACTCTTAATATCCTGATCTTTCTACTTACTATAATTCCCTTGATATCTACACGACTCAAGTCAATTCTAATACTTTTCAGGGTTAAGAATATTGCTAATATACCATGTTGTAAAACATAATAGAAGAAAACACCTTAAATCTCAGTCATCACACAATCTTCAATAATAACCTTATCATCAGCATCCTTTAAGGGTCGTTTTATTTCTTTAGTAAGTTAATTAGGTTTGAGTTTAGAAACAAATTGTTGTAATGTTTTGTTAATGCTTGGCATCATTCTACAAATGTTCCTGGAGCATGACAAACATCACTAAGCAGGATGCTTCTCGTGGATATTTATTTAACATCACTGAGAGGTCACATGACAAATGAAAGTATTTTCTACTTGAAAAATTTAATAATATCAATCCATGTTGGTAACATGTGCTGAAACATATCTTTAAGGCGGATATAATGGTGTATGGTACGAAATTGTATTCCAGAGTAGTATCTGTTGAATATGAATAAGGTACCCAATGTGGGAAACGTTGGAGAAATCCGAACAAATATTATCTTAAAGTAAGTGAATAATGGTACCCAATGTGGAAACGTTGGAGAAACCCGAACAAATATTATCTTAAAGTAGTGAATATGGTACCCAAAGTGGAAACGTTGGAGAAACCCGAACAAATATTATCTTAAAGTAGTGAATATGGTACCCAATGTGGAAACGTTGGAGAAATCCGAACAAATATTATCTTAAAGAAGTGAATAAGGTACCCAATGTGGAAACGTTGGAGAAATCCGAACACATATTATCTTAAAGAAGTGAATAAGGTACCCAATGTGGGAACGTTGGAAAGTATAAGTTTATCAGTTTATATCAAAAACATGTTGATGGGTAAATATAGAGAACTGAGTATGTGATATCAAAAACATTTTGAATATGCAAATCACCAACTCACGCGACAGCCACAGTCACATATGAAGCTGCAGTGGAACTAAATGTATCAAAATTTTGACATTATTTGGTGTTCTTAGGTAGTGTAATATAACTGAAAATGTACCGCTTTGAGGAAGAGTATGTAACATCCCTTTCCAATGCAAAATACTCATACACTCAGATCGTAAGGATGTGTTCATGTTGGGGATTTAGAATTTTCAAGACTTGTAATAAATAGTATTGGAAAACAAAGGAATATGAAACAACTTGGAGCACCAGTCGGGGTAAACCAAGTGCAGAGTGTTATAACAGATGAGAATCCGCGATTACAAATGCCAGTCGAAAAGCAATCCATGTGCTCTAGGGGTGCACGCAGCATAATGAAAAAGGATCTCCGTCTGGAAAAGCGACGTGAGTACACAAGCTGCTTCCACAAAATATTTTTCAAGCAGTCTCATTCCTCAATCAGCTGGATAATGAAACGGATATTCATGCTATTTGATACTATATCATATAGATCAAGTCGTCGGATGCAGTTCCGATGGATTTCTGCGCGATCGGACTGTTGAAACGGCCGCTGGGAAACCGTCATCCTCGTATACTAAATATATTATGTAAAGCATGCAAGGAGGGATGGTGTGCTTTAGACATGAAAGACTAATGATAAAGTATGTGCAATGGTTGCTACGATGCAGGAACATGATTGTTCGTGGCAACATGAACTGTAATGGCGTGATGAGACTCCAGATTCGTTTAAATATAGCATATTTAAATCTGTATGTCTTATCTTTGCGTCACTTAAAGAACCCTGTTATCAATCTTACTTAGGATTCCTTGAGTCTTGTGTGTTGAACACTTTAAGATACCAATAATCTGGCGATTTGGTAAAATGTGTTTAGTTTAGCAAATACATTACAATGTATTATACCTTGTGTGTTGCACATCTTAATATACCACATATCGATAAGTTGGTAAAATAAGCTCAGTTAACAAATTTATTATAACTTACTGAGCTCTGTGTGTGGAATACCTTAGATTATATATATATATACCATGAATTGGTAAGTTGGTAAAAGATGCTCAGTCAAAACGTTTACTTGAATTTCTTTAGCCCTGTGATTACAACACTTCAGTACATCAAGAGTCTGATAATTTGGTAAAATAAGCTCAGTTAACAAATTTATTATATCTTACTGAGCTCTGTGTGTGGAATACCTTAGATTATATATATATATACCATGAATTGGTAAGTTGGTAAAAGATGCTCAGTCAAAACGTTTACTTGAATTTCTTTAGCCCTGTGATTATAACACTTCAGTACATCAAGAGTCTGATAATTTGGTAAAAGGAGTTTAGTTAACAAATTGTCTAAACTTTATCGATACCTGTGGTTTAAACATATCAGTATGTCACGAATCTTCTAATTTGGTAAAAGGAGTTTAGTTAACAAATTGTCTAAACTTTATCGA